TTGTCTGTGACTCATGTACTCTATGTATGTATTAAACTAAACCAAACACTTTTACAGTGTTACAATTCATCTTTGTCAACACACAAGGACTTAAAACAAGAACAAACAACAAAGTGCAGTTCATAAATGGCCTCCTCACGGAGTTAAATGCAGTATTTGGAGCTTTCACAGAAACCCATGCAGGGGAATTCTTAGACAGTGAGATCTGGATACCAGGATATAACCTATACAGGTGTGATAGGGTAATTAGGTCACATGGAGGAGTGGGTCTGTATATTAGGGAAGACCTTGTATGCTCGGAGCCCCTTAACGTTACAAATGAGGTGGTAGAGGTACTGGGAGTAAAAATAGAGAAAATAAACTTAGTGATTATTCTAATATACAAACCGCCAGATGCAACGGCCGAAGAATTCGCAGAACAGATAAACAAAATAGAGAATAGCCTTGATAATTTGGAGAACACGATACCTGATATTATCTTCCTAGGTGATTTCAACTTGCCTAGTCTAAGATGGAGAATAGCAAACAATAATATTATACCAGGAAATCTATCAGTACCTAACCAACCACAGAATAGAGAACTGCTTAGATTCTGTGACAAATTTTCACTCAACCAGCAGATATCAGCGCCAACAAGAAATGAAAATATTCTAGATCTGGTCTTTACGAACAATGAAGACATAATCAGGGACATTACGATATCAGATATCACATACTCAGATCACAAGCTCATTGAAGTGCACACTACCATCAATACTCAGAATGGACCTGAAAAAATGATCAAGCGAGAGGGGTTATTCAATAAATTATATTTTATCAATAAAAGGATAGACTGGGAGAAAATAAACAGGGAACTTACAAACATTCCATGGGAAACTGTTCTATGTAATAAAAGTCATACAGAGGGAATAGAAAACTGATTTCGGAAGCGTATCAAGTCTGTCTGAAACATTTTCCTTTGAGGAAAGCCAGACAGAGGTCCAACGTAGAAAGATAACGCAGACGACACTATAAAAGAAGGAAAAAAATAGAGGAAATGCTTAAGCAGACACGACTTTCCCGTCAAAGAAGGAATAATTTAAACAGGGAGATTGAAGAAATCGAGCGGAAGTTGAAACACTCATATCAGACTGAAAAAAGGCAGTTAGAACAGAAAGCCATTCAGGAAATAAAGAAAAATTCAAAATACATCTTCACATATGCGAAATCAAAAGCAAAAACCACTGCCAGTATTGGACCTATTCGTACAAGTGAAGGTTCATACACGGAGGATGACAAAGAAATTAGTGAAATCGTAAAAAAACAGTATACCTTGAGGTTACCTTGAGGTGCTTCCGGGGCTTAGTGTCCCCGCGGCCCGGTCGTCGACCAGGCCTCCTGGTTGCTGGACTCCAAAGGAAGCACCTCCAAAGGATACCTGATCAACCTGGCTGTGACTCATACGTCAGGCTGCGAGTAGCCGCATCCAACAGCCTGGTTGATCAGTCCAGCAACGAGAAGGCCTAGTCGAGGACCGGGCCGCGGGGACGTTGAACCCCGAAATCATCGCAAGGTAACCGCAGGGTAAGGTACCACGCTCGCCTTCTTTCTAGGAGACGTGTCTTTTATTGTTTATGTGAGGAGAGGTAGGAGGAGTAGGAGAGGTAGGAGGAGTAGGAGAGGTAGGAGGAGAAGAGGAGAGTAGGAAGAGAGGAGGAGAGGGAGGGATGAGGATGAGGAGATGGAGGTTGTGGAGTAAGGAGAAGGAGTAGGCCATTCACAGAGCAGAGCACTGGATCGATACACCACCCTACACGCCTCCCCTCTCTCTCTCCCACGCCTTCCCTCTCTCTCTCCCACGCCTCCCCTCTCTCCCACGCCCTCCCTCTCTCTCTCCCACGCCTCCCCTCTCTCTCTCCCACGCCTCCCCTCTCTCTCTCCCACGCCTCCCCTCTCTCTCCCACGCCCTCCCCCTCTCTCTCTCCCACGCCTTCCCTCTCTCTCTCTCTCCCACGCCTCCCCTCTCCCTCCCACGCCCTCCCCCTCTCTCTCTCCCACGCCTCCCCTCTCTCTCTCTCCCACGCCTCCCCTCTCTCTCCCACGCCCGCCCTCTCCCCTCTCTCCCACGCCTCCCCCTCTCTCTCCCCCACGCCCTCCCCTCTCTCTCTCTCTCTCCCACGCCTCCCCTCTCTCCCACGCCCTCCCCCTCTCTCTCTCCCACGCCTTCCCTCTCTCTCTCCCACGCCTCCCCTCTCTCTCTCTCCCACGCCCTCCCCCTCTCTCTCCCACGAATTCCCTCTCTCTCTCCTACGCCTTCCCTCTCTCTCTCTCTCCCACGCCTTCCCCCTCTCTCTCTCTCTCCCACGCCTCCCCTCTCTCCCACGCCTTCCCCCCTCCTCTCTCTCTCCCACGCCTTCCCCCCTCTCTCTCTCTCCCACGCCTCCCCTCTCTCTCTCCCACGCCTCCCCTCTCTCTCTCCCCCGTCTCCCCCCTCTCTCTCCCATGCCCTCCCCCTCTCTCTCTCCCACGCCTTCCCTCTCTCTCCCACACCTTCCCTCTCTCTCTCTTTCCCACGCCTCCTCCTCTCTCTCCCACGCCCTCCCCCTCTCTCTCCCACGCCTTCCCTCTCTCTCTCTCTCCCACGCCCTCCCCCTCTCTCTCTCTCCCACGCCCTCCCCCTCTCTCTCCCATGCGTTCTCTCTTTCTCCCACGCCTCCCCTCTCTCCCACGCCTCCCCTCTCTCTCTCCCACGCCCTCCCCCTCTCTCCCACGCCTTCTCTCTTTCTCTCCCACCACGCCCTCCCCTCTCTCTCCCACGCCTTCTCTCTCTTCTCCCACGCCTCTCTCTCTCCCACGCCCTCCCCTCTCTCTCCCACGCCTCCCCTCTCTCTCCCACGCCTCCCCTCTCTCTCTCCCCACCCCTCTCCTCTCTCTCCCACGCCTCCCCCTCTCTCTCCCACGCCTTCTCTCCTTTTCTCCCACGCCTCCCCTCTCTCTCCCACGCCTCCCCTCTCTCTCCCACGCCTCCCCTCTCTCTCCCACGCCTCCCCTCTCTCTCCCACGACTCCCCTCTCTCTCTCCCACGCCTGCTTGATACCTGGTTGATGGGGTTCTGGGTGTTCTTCTACTCCCCAAGCCCGGCCCGAGGCCAGGCTTGACTTGTGAGAGAGTGGTCCACCAGGCTGTTGCTTGGAGCGGCCCGCAGGCCCACATACCCACCACAGCCCGGTTGGTCCGGCACTCCTTGAAGATACTCAGTTTGCACCTGTGTCCCCTTGTTCAACCACCAGTGTTGAATAGTTTATCCCTGTCTACCCTGTCAATTTCCCTGAGGATTTTGTAGGTAGTGATCATGTCTTCCCTTACTCATCTGTCTTCAAGTGTCGTAAGGCACATTTCCCGCAGCCTTTCCTCGTAACTCATGCCTCTCAGTTCTGGGACTAGTCTAGTGGCATACCTCTGAACTTTTTCCAGTTTCGTCTAGTGCTTGACTAGGTACGGGCTCCATGCTGGGGCCGCATACTCCAGGATTGTTCTTACATATGTGGTATACAAGTGTGTGTGCGTGTGCGCGCGCGCGCGCGTGTGTGTGTGTGTGTGTGTGTGTGTGTGTGTGTGTGTGTGTGTGTGTGTGTGTAAGCTGGTCAGAATTGCATTTCACCGTTGTGAACGCACCTTAATCATATTAGATATAAAACATACCTCGAACGCTTTATGTAAATATATGTATTTATGCATGTAGGTTAGATTAGCATTTTAAAAGCACTACAATTTGCCTTGGGTGGTTGATTGTCCAAATAAATCAGTGAAGGATATGTTGAAACCTCTCACCGTGACCTTGGAGGACAGGAGAACACGTGTATATGCTGGTTACCATTGTGAATGTGTGGCCACGTCTGTGGCAGAAATTAATGCAAAAAATACTACCAGTCAACACGCCTTCGATTTGTCTCACCCCAGCCCGTGAGCCTCCCCTCTCTCCCATGTTACACGCCTCCTCTCCCATCCCCTCTTCCATACCTCAATCCCCCCCCCCACTTCCCTCCCATGCAAACTATAGCCGCCCCCCCCCCACTCTCCCGCCAAGACTCAAGTGCTATATAGTCGTAATGGCTTAGTGTTTTCTCCTGATGATCACGTTGCCGCCAAGACTTCATAATGCAGGCTGCATGATTCACCTCCCCCCCCCCCAGGACATGGTACAAGATTCACTCCCGAGTCCATGGTACAAAATACAAAAGCATGGTAGAAGGTATAATATATGGTACAAAATTAGATAGTTTTCTCCAAGGAGTGGCGGACCAACCGGGCTGTGGTGGGTATGTGGGCCTGCGGGCCACTCCAAGCAACAGCCTGGTGGACCAAACTCTCACAAGTCAAGCCTGGCCTCGGGCCGGGCTTGGGGAATAGAACTCCCAGAACCCCATCAACCAGGTATCAAGCAGGTATGCGCCCTGCCTGCTGGTGAACGGTGCCTGTCGTACCAGTGATCCCAGCACACTGCATAAAGTAGGCACAAGGGAGGTGTCCCCGCGGCCCGGTCTCCGACCAGGCTTCCCGGTTGGTGGTCATGTCAACCAGGCTGTTGGTCGCGGCTGCGAGCAGCCTGACATATGAACCACAGGCTGGTTGATCAGGCCCCTGTGTGAATAATTATAGCACGTTCGTGCATGGACAAACAAAAGGACAAACAATTGCAAAAACAAACATCGCAACACTGCTAAATGAACTGGGTTCGTATCCTGGCCGGGGAGGATTGACTAGGCACCAATCCTCAACTGTATGCCTCTGTTCATCCAGCAGTGAATGGGTACCTTGTTCTTAAACGATTTGGCGGGTCGTACTCCGGGGAAAAATTAGGATTAAGGACCAGCCCGAAACGCTCTTCGTGCTGGTGGCTTTATAAAAATGTAAGAAATATTGTTGGTATAAAAATAAATATACACATGGAACATACTGGAAGGCCAAGCTCAAAATTTTCACAGTAGAATAACACAATAGAGCGAATGTTGTTGTCTTAGATTCAGCTGTGAACAAAAACTTATAAGCAGCACGGACTACCCTGAGCCTCTAGCGGACTACCCTGAGCCTCTAGCGGACTACCCTGAGCCTCTAGCGGACTACCCTGAGCCTCTAGCGGACTACCCTGAGCCTCTAGCGGACTACCCTGAGCCTCTAGCGGACTACCCTGAGCCTCTAGCGGACTACCCTGAGCCTCTAGCGGACTACCCTGAGCCTCTAGCGGACTACCCTGAGCCTCTAGCGGACTACCCTGAGCCTCTAGCGGACTACCCTGAGCCTCTAGCGTACTACCCTGAGCCTCTAGCGGACTACCCTGAGCCTCTAGCGGACTACCCTGGCACAGGAGCGGGGCTGTAACTGTATGACTAGAACGAAATATATGGAAGGATATGTAGAATAGTACCAGTGAGAAGTAGAGGTGCCATAGGTACAATCAGAGAACCATGACTGAGCATCACAAGTCCACAGCTGTTCAATACTCTCCCAGCAAGCATTAGAAATATTGCCGGAACTAATGTGGACTTCAAGTACCAACTAAATAAGTTACTGCAAGAAGTACCGGACCAACCAGGCTGTAATGGATATGTGGGCCTGCCGGCCGCTCCAAGCAGCAGCCTGGTGGACCAAGTTATCACAAGTCTAGTCTGGCCTCAGGCCGAGCGCGGGGGGTAGAACTCCAGAATACCCTCTACAGGTATGGTCCAGGCGGCGTCACGCCACCGACAAACTGCATTACACATCCGACAGTTTAAAACACTGCACTGTGGAAATAGTTAGTACAGTTACGAGAAAGAAAGAAAGAAAAAAAAAGCAAAGAAAGAAAGAAAGAAAGAAAAGAAAGAAAGAAGAAAGAAAGAAAGAAAGAAAGAAAGAAAGAAAGAAAGAAAGAAAGAAAGAAAGAAAGAAGAAAGAAATAAAGAAAGAAAGAAAGAAGACATAAAGAAAGAAAGAAAGAAAGAAAGAAAGAAGAAAGAGAGAAAGAAAAGAAAGAAAGAAAGAAGAAATAAGAAAGAAAGAAAGAACGAAAGAAAGAAAAGAAAGAAGAAAGAAAGAAAGAAAGAAAAAAGAAAGAAAGAAAGAAGAAAAAAGAAAAAGAAAAGAAAGAAGAAAGAAAGAAGAAAGAAAGAAAGAAAGAAAGAAAGAAAAGAAGAAAGAAAGAAAGAAAGAAAGAAAGGAAGAAAAGAAAGAAAGAAAAAAGAAGAAAGAAAGAAAGAAAGAAGAAAGAAAGAAGAAAGAAAGAAAGAAAGAAAAAGAAAGAAAGAAGGAAAGAAGGAAAGAAAAAGAAAACAGAAAGAAGAAATAAAAGAAGAAAGAAAGAAAGAAAGAAAGAAGAAGAAAGAAGGCAGGAAGGAAGGAAGGAAGGATGGAAGAAGGTAGGAAGGAAGTAAGGAAGGAAGGAGAAGAAAGAAGGAGGGAAAGGAAGGAAGGAGAGGAAGGAAGGAGGAAGGAAGGAAGGACGGACTGCTCTGTCTTACCTCATTATCAAGACAGGAGGTGATTGCGTGGTATTAAGTGTTGAAGACGTCAGCAGGTGGCGGACCTCCCTCCCCCGCACCCTTACTTGTGTCACTCCATCACCCACAACACAACACTTGTGTCACTCCATCACCCACAACACAACACTTGTGTCACTCCATCACCACAACACAACACTTTGTGGCACTCCAAATCACCCACAACACAACACGTTGTGTCACTCCATCAACCCACAACACAACACTTGTGTCACTCCATCACCCACAACACAACACTTGTGTCACTCCATCACCCACAACACAACACTTGTGTCACTCCATCACCCACAACACAACACTTGTGTCACTCCATCACCCACAACACAACACTTGTGTCACTCCATCACCCACAACACAAACTTCCTCTCCCATCAAGGACCCCTGGAACTTTTTTTTTTTTTTTGAGATATATACAAGAGTTGTTACATTCTTGTACAGCCACTAGTACGCGTAGCGTTTCGGGCAAGTCCTTAATCCTATGGTCCCTGGAATACGATCCCCTGCCGCGAAGAATCGTTTTTTTCATCCAGTCCAAAACACACATTTTAACTGTTGCGTTTAAACAGAGGCTACAGTTAAGGAATTGCGCCTAGTAAATCCTCCCCGGCCAGGATACGAACCCATGACGTAGCGCTCGCGGAACGCCAGGCGAGTGTCTTACCACTACACCACGGAGACTTAGAATAGAACTGAATATAAGCACTGAGGAGTTGAGGTGCCATAGGCGCAGAGAACATCAGAGGTACACGGCTGTTCAACACCCTCCCAGCAAGCATTGGAAATATTGTTGGAATAACAGTGGACTACCTCATAGGCTGGGCTCTGGGAGTAGATGAACTCCTGGATCCCTTTCCAGGTAAACTCGAGGTAAACCCTCTAGCGTATGATTGTTGTCAAATCTGAAAAGATTTTACTCTGGTTTCAATATTTCATCAGTGTAATAATCCTTTGTGTGAGCTTCATTAGGGCTGCAAACACTGCATTTGCCTCAATTATGAGACCAGCTATACAGTGGACTTTGTTTGAGTTGTGAGATTTGATACTTGAATTTGGCAAATACGGATATCATCGTATTAGTGGAAGTGGTGAGTGTTTTACCTGGTGTTAATATGTTTGTTGTGATAGGCGCGCCACTGTGTCTGTCCTGTCTAGCACTTGACAAGAGCTGGTGGTGGTCTTATCACTTCTAACCATACTTCTCTTTCTAAAAATATCTTCATATGTAGAGTTGGGGCTGTTTTCATAGTGGCGTTTAGTTAGTTTTATTCCTCTGTTTTCTCCGATGTGAAATTTAGGACAGTCAAGATATTAATAAAACACTACCTGGAGCATACCTGTAGAGTTTCGGGAGTTCTTCTACTCCTCGAGCCTGGCCTGAGGCCAGACTCGACTTGTGATAACTTGGTCCACCAGGCTGTAGCTTGGAGCGGCCCGCAGGCCCACATATCCACCACAGCCCGGTTGGTTCAGCACTCCTTGCAAGAACCTGTCACCCACAGCATTCTTTTTTATTCGGTAACTTTTAACAGATCCAGGTGGAGAAGTAGTGTCAGTAATAATGTGTGAGGGTGATGGGGTTAGCTGTTGAGGTGGAGCATCTTCCTGTAATGACGCCGCTACTCTCAACATGAAGGTGACTGTGGTAGCAATGATGCAGTGATTTTCCTGTCGTTTCCTAAACAATGAGCATATTTCTGTGCCATGATGAATATTGGTTGACGATGCTTGTAATTGTGGTGTTGGGTAGTGAAGGTTGAGGGTGGTGTTGATCAGCGGCTGGTGGTGGGTAGTTGAGGGGGGGGGGGGGGCAGGAGGTGGTGACGATCAGCGGCTGGTGGTGGTGGTGGTGGTGGTGGTGGTGGTGTTGTTGGTGGTGGTTGTAGGTAGCAGTACTTTGTGGACGTTGACAAAGGTGGAAAGTGGGTGTGTTCAGCCGAGGAGCACGAGTACTCTGAGTGGAGGGAGAAGCACCATACCTTTGTCCGTTAATGGTTTGTTGGATATTACAGTTATGTTATTGGTGCTTATATTGCTCTTGCTTTTGTTGATGTTGGAAATGTGGGGGTGGTGGAAGCCTTAGGGGTTGACGGTGCAAGGGACTGTGTATACCTGCTTGATGAGCTTCTGGGAGTTCTTCTACTCCGTAAGCCCGGCCCGAGGCTTTACTCGTGAGAGTTTGGTCCACCAGGCTGTTGCTTGGAGCAGCCCGCAGGCCCACATACCCACCACAGCCCGGTTGGTCCGGCACCTTTTTTACAAAACAATTTAGTTTTCTCTTATAGATGTCCACGGTTGTTCCCACAATATTTCTTATAGTCGCTGGGAGGGTGTTGAACAACCGCGGACCTCTGATGTTTATACAGTGTTCTCTGATTGTGCCTATGGCACCTCTGCTCTTCACTGGTTTTATTCTGCATTTTCTCACATATCGTTCACTCCAGTATGTTGTTATTTTACTGTGTAGAGTTGGTACCTAGCCCTCCAGTATCTTCCAGGTGTGCTTTATCTCGTCAATGCGTGCCGTATATGTTCTCTGTATTCCCTCTATTTCAGCAATCTCTCCTGCTCTGAAGGGGGAAGTGAGTACTGAGCAGTACTCAAGACGGGACAACACAAGTGACTTGAAGAGACAACCATTGTGATTGGATCCCTGGATTTGAAAAGTTCTCGTAATCCATCCGATCATTTTTCTGGCTGACGCAATATTTGCTTGGTTATGCTCCCTAAACGTTAGGTCGTCGGACATTATTATTCCCAAATCCTTGACATGCTGTTTTCCTACTATGGGCAGATTTGATTGTGTTTTGTATCCTGTATTATGTTTAAGGTCCTCATTTTTGCAGTACCTGAGTACCTGGAATTTATTACTGTTAAAAATCATGTTATTTTCTGCTGCCCAATCGAAAACTTTATTAATATCTGCTTGTAGTTTTTCAATATATTCAGCAGAGGTAATTTTCATGCTGATTTTTGTGTCATCTGCAAAGGATGACACGAAGCTGTGACTTGTATTTTTGTCTATATCTGATATGAGAATAAGAAAAAACAGTGGTGCAAGGACTGTACCTTGAGGTACAGAACTTTTAACTGCGCTTGAACTCGATTTTATCTGATTGACTGTTACTCTTTGTGTTCTGTTCGACAGGAAATTGAGTATCCAGCGTCCTACTTTACCATTTATTCCCATTGACCTCATTTTGTGTGCTATCACTCCATGGTACATTTGTCGAATGCCTTTACAAAGTCTGTATATACAACATCTGCATTTTGCTTTTCTCCTAAAGCTTCTATGATGTTGTCATAGTGGTTGAGTAACTGTGACAGACAGGATCTTCCCGCTGCAAATCCATGTTGTCCTGGGTTGTGTAGCTCATTATTTTCCATAAACCTAGAAATTTGATTCCTAATTACTCTTTCAAAAACTAGTATTATGTGAGATGTTAGTGCAACTGGTCTATAATTTTTCCCAAAGCTTTATTCCCCCCCGTGTGCAGAGGAGCTATATCTGCAGATTTAAGTGCTGCTGGTATCTTCCCTGTATCCAGACTCTCTCCATATTACGCTGAGTGCTCTCGCTACTGGTACTTTACATTTCTTTATGAATATTGAGTTCCATGAGTCAGGCCCAGGAGCTGAGTGCATGGACATATTGTCAAATTCTCTTTCAAAGTGTTCTGAGTTCGTGTTAATATCCGTTATATTATCTGCAGCTTGAATGTCATTCATAAAGAAGCTGTCTGGATCTTCAACTTTCGTGTTGTTGATTGGTGTGCTAAACATAGCCTCATACTGGCTTCTTAGAATTTCACTAATTTCTTTGTTGTCCTCTGTGCACGTACCTTC